TTTTTTTTTGGTACAAAGAAGGAGGCCACAGGCCTAAGAATTAAACTAGAACTCGACGGGGGTACGAAACCCCGATAATATCATGCTCGAGCCACTCGGCCAAACTCGGTGGGGGATCAGATAAGACATGAAAGCCAATCGGATAAGACGACGCTAAGCTCGCCAAATGGTCTGCCGCAAAGTTGGCCTCTCTATGCACATGCCGAAGTCGGACAGTCCACTCCCGGTGGATTAGATGTCGGATGGCGCGGACTAAAGAGTCATGGACCCCAAATGGGCAGTCCTGATCAGCGATCATTTTTAACACGCATTGGCTATCAACTTCCACAACAACTCGACGAAACCCCATATCCCACGCCAGTTGCAAACCTTGAAATAGGCCCCATAGCTCCGCACCGGTAATGGTACAGTGTCCAATGTTCATAAGAAAACCCGTAAACTATAAGTAATTGACTATTCTAATTACCTCCAAGTTAATAAATAATTGCTTATTTTCATTTTAAATTTGGAATCTAAATTTGAACTACACAATAAACATCCTTGTATATTTTATGTATATCTATATTTTACCAATCTCAAATGCTACCTTATCGTCAAATTTATCAACTAAATCTCTATAATTAAATTATAAATTTTAAGTTTTATTAACAAATATTTGTTTAAATATTTTCCTAATTTTTGAGAGAAATACACAATTTTCTTATCTTATGGCAAGTTATTATGGGAATATTTTAAAACAGTAAAGCTTGAGAATCATATCACCTTGATTTTATAACAAATCAACCTAAACTTCTACTTTCATACTTGTACTAAATAAAATTCATACCACCTATTTTATTTTCAAAATTCAAATACACTTCTCTTCATACCAAATGAAATTTATACTATTTAAGTTCGGACATTTTATACCAAAATAAAATCACCCTCTTTTTATTCATCATAATACTCAACTATTGTTTTATTCAAAGCTTTATTGTCATATAATATGTATTAAGATAATTTTTTAAACTAACCATTAAATTTTATTATATGCAAATATTTTGATATTCTTAACAAAGTAAATTTTATACTCCTACAGCTTACGCAACACGGAATTCTATTTACGCTACGTAGTATAAGAACTAAAACTCGACGAATTACTTTTTAAATATTTTAAAACACTAAAAGATATACAATTTCAATATAAAATGGCATTTATGCGATATTATAATTTTTTAAGGGGAAACCCGTGCGTCAGACATGACTTAAAATTTCAAATATTGATTTGTTAAAAATTAAGCAAATTATTTATTTTTGTAAACAAATACAAATAAATTTTATAAATTCTCAATAAATTTTTTAAATCGTTTCCTTTTTGTTTATCATATTACTATATAAGCAAATCAAAATATTTTGAAATTTGAAATTAAAGCTATATTGGCGGGTTTTTTCCGATTATTATTTTTTCAAAAAGATTACCAAATTTATAGATATAAATAGTGATGTATAATAAATTCAAAATATCATGGGCATGTGTTTCATGTATGATATGATGTACCAAAGTTTTAATTCCAATATATATTGGGATGTTTATGGAAGAAAACACATACAACAAAAAATATGTACATACATTGATTTCTAAGTCAATTGGTTTTTTGTTTTTTGTTTTTTTTTTCAAATAATCGGAAAAAAAAAAAGATAAAATGGAGAAGGTAAAAATCTGATATCATTTTTTCTTTTTGTTAAAAAATCAAACTACAACGTAAAAAAATTAGTCACCCGAAAAAAAAAATTGTTTCTTTAATGTAGCTTTATTTTCGGGAAACAAAATTAACAAATGCCATAATTTAAGGGCAGCATTTAATGCTGCTCTATTTTAAAAAATAAAAATTAAAAATTTACTAAAAATAGTATGTAATTAATGCTGACCAAAATTTGACCTACTATTTTAGAAAAATGATAATTCTTTTGATATAGATATAGATTACATATTATCCAACTGTTGAAATAGCAACTAAATGTAACTGGTCTACTGCAAAATAAATGGTTTTTTCCAGATGCCTTTTGGCATTAATTTTGTATATTTTTCCAATCATTTTGTCAACTTCATGAAAAGTAAACAAGAGAGAGAGAGAGAGAGAGAGAGAGAGAGAGAGAGAGAGAGAGAGAGAGAGAGAGAGAGAGAGAGAGAGAGAGAGAGAGAGAGAGATTAACGTATTTATAACCAATTTTTAGTGTTTTTTTTTTTTTTCAAATGTTACAGTAGAAGAAATACTGAAACTTTAATTAGAATAAGTAGGCAAGTACTCTGTCCACAAGTCAGTAATTTCATTACTGAAGACATTAGCAAAAGGTAACATAGCCCATAGTGTTTAACATAAGTAGATAACAATAACCACTTCTACACTAATACCTCAAGATTTCAACAAAAGGACATACACTAATACCACAAGGTTGTTCACAAAACCTAGGAGGATTCAACAACTAAACAGGCTCAAATGAATTAAACCCGGCAATTGTCAGATGCCCGCTCGTACGATGCAATACTCTGGAGAGCCTGGAATTGGGCCTTTAAATAATAAGGGGTTTTAAGCTTAAAGTCGGGGCAAAGACAATTCAACCCTCTCCAAGACTTTAGCATTCCTCAAGACATAAGCAACCATCTGAAACTCTTGCTTTGTACACGTAAAACATAGTAATCTGATAAATCTGAGACTTGAAAACAAGCATGAAGGCACTGCATGGGGCTCTATCCACCATTTCCGACGATTATCCAACTGAGGATGAAATAATAAAAGGGAAAGTCGAATTAACGAACAGTAAAAGGGAAAACAAGTCACGTGCTGGAAAAAAAAAAAAACAAGTAATATGAAAGACATACCGTAGCGACTGTAAACTTTTTAAGATTATTAGCATTTTCAAGAAAAAAGGGGATAAAGCGCCATTTAGTTTTCGGTGTGACTTCGAGCAAATTAGGAAACTTGACCAGCACAGCAGAGAATACATTCTCAGGATGCTGCAAGAGCAATAAGCATTCATTACCAGATGTATGAAAATAAACACTAACAAAATAATTAAAAAAATCAACCACTTGCCGCAATCAACCCAGTTGCCAGTTGCAAGCGCGTCACGTAACAGAGGCTGCCCAAAAATGGTAGCACAGTAGCATATAAGGCATAACCCGTCGAGGCGTACAACCGTGGTGCAACTTGACATCCGCTTCAGTCAAGGATGACATCAAATTGAACGAGACATCTTTGGATAAATTATCAAATATCCGGAGGAATCTGAGTGCCGGAGCATCTATCTTCAGCCTATACGTCTCACTGTGAAATGAATCCCAGAAAGTTGTATTAAGGTAAAGCGTAATCAGAGTGGGCGAAAGATATGCAATGATAAACACACGGAGGCACGTTTTCTGACACCAAGTTCAACTCCTCAAGCACCGGGCAACCGGACAGCAAGGTAGTGAGGCATCCAAACTCAGACTTATAACTAACATCATGAATCTGAAGCTTATTAAGAGCAGGCAGACGCACGAAGTCCAACATGGGGATTGGACCGCATTGAAAGAGCATTAAATCCACAAGGGAGGCGTAGGTGAAGATGCAAAGGGGCAAGCCTGACTATATTATCTATACTGAGATAGAGATGTTTTACGTTGCGTACAATGGCAGCGGTAATGCACGTCTCGAGCTGATACTCCCCACCACAATTTTTATTGTAAATGAGGCGAAAATTATTCATGCCCTGCACTTTGTACTGGAGCATCACTCTGTAGATGATGTCCGACAATCTCTTGCCCCCATCTAATTCTAGATCAGTATTCCAAAAATGAGAGCCGTCAAAATCTATATCAGGGACGTGTGTCCACAAATGCCTCCATATTCTTGATAAGATGCTGGTCTGTACGGATCTCTTGGTGGGTAGAAAGGAGAGAATATGGTGGAGGACGGCGTCCGGCAGGCTGCTCAGCCTATCAATTGAGTCCATGCATCGGTTCCCTGTTATAACCTTAAGGCGCTTTATGATACATGGCGCTTCTTTCTCCATAATAATACGAGTTTCTAGTTACAGAAAAAAACATATTACGGCTAACAAGGATTAAAAATAAAGCAGGTGGTAAAACCTTGAAAACAATTGGGATAGACTGTATGTGTGCTGTCTATTACAAGAATCCCTGCTGTAATTAAAAGGGTTTACAAGGAAGCAAACAAGGATGCGTAACTGACGAAAAAGAGGTTTTATCTGGATTTTCTAGCCTTTAATATCTTCCCAACCGGCGCAAGGTGTGAGAACTACAGAGGGGGGCGAGTGAGATGGCCGGAGTCGGGCGGAATTGGCGGCTAGGGTTTTAGTTTGGAAGGGGAGATTGTTGGCGGACTTGGGCAGCGTGAAGCTCCTGCGCGGCTGAAGGATGAAAATCGAGTGAGGGAGTCGATCGACGGGACTGGCGGCGTGGTTGTGGGAATGAATTCAGTCTTGGTGGAGGGCAGCTGAAGGGTTGTGTTGTTTGGCTGTGCCATGAAGCGCCGTGTATAGTAAGACCACGATTGTTATAATGTAATGGAATATCTAGTAGAATATCTAGGAATGAAATGAATTGAATAATGAAATAATTATGGGAATGAAATGAATAAGTTTTGTCCTTTTAGTATGCAGAAAGAATAAAACATGAATAAAAGGACATTATCATCATTTTTTTAAAATAAATAAAAGCTTTGTCAAAAAATAATATATTTTTAATAAATCCTCCCTATATCCATATATATAATTCCAGAATGCACTGAACCTACGTGGCTGCTTCTGGTGCTTCGGAATCCTATTTGGCAAAAAATCATGCTTCATAATTAGGTTTGGATAAATAATATTGATATATTAATAATTAATAATCTAGGTTCGGGTATTCCATAAATATTATTTAGCTAACTTAGGTATTTTAATATCATTTTTACTAATATAATCCTTTAATTCTTTGTAATTTTACGTAGTGAGACACTAAGTGACTAATATCCCTGAATTTTGATTTGTTTCATTCAATAAGCTATTGAATTATAAATGTATTTAAAAGTTGATAACTTTTGTATTTCTTATCAGTTTTACATATATAATCTATCAAATTAATCATCTTTTGATGATCTTCGATTTGACATCCATATTGTATATATGAAATAAATAAATTATATTTATCTTTATAATAATAATAAATAATAATATTTATTAAAATTCATTAGAAAAATAAAAGTATTTCTCAATTGATATATTTATGTTTAATGTAGTTATATGTTGTAAGTTAAAAAATTATCATAATATAACACAGTAAGTTGCACAAATAAAAAGTGTCATACTAAATATATAATGATATATACTCCCTCCTATTTTTTTTAAATGTCATTCTAGCCTTTTCAACTATTTGCCAAATAAATGTCGTTTTGGATATTTTGTACATATTTTCCCATTATTACCATCATTTAGTCAATAAATACATTACGTCTTTTCATATTCACTCTTCACTTTTTTTCAAAACATTCATCTCTATCTTCAATAAATAAGGTTATTATTGACAAAAAAAAAATATTCTTAATTAGTGTGCAATTTCTCAAAACGACATATATTAAAAATGGGAGATAGTATATTTTGATAAAAGGTATTTAAATTTTCAACTATTTTTTTTCATTAATTTTAGATTTTAAGAAAAAAAAAATAGCAAACACCGTGTAATACACATGCGTTGTACTAGTTATATATAAATGCTTATAATAATATATAAAAATAAAAAAGTATTATATTTTTAATAATATATATTTTTATTTTTTAATTAAACAATAAATGAAAGTAAGTTTTTAATTTTTTTATTTGAATTTTATTTTAAAATAATATATTTTTAATAATATATAAAAATAAAAGTAATATATTTCTAATAATATATATTTTTATTATTTTTTAATAATATATTTTAATGTATTTTTCAAAGTAATATATATATATAAAGAATAATATATTTTTAATTATATATAAAATAAAATAAAGTGTTATTATATAAAAATGCTTTTTTTTAAGTTTGATTTTTATATAAGTATTTAATATATCTAATTAAACAATAAATAAAAGTAAGTTTTCAGTATTTTTATTTGAATTTTATTTTGTAAAGTAATTTTATTGAATATGATTTTATCAATATTTATAATAATATATTATATTATATATTTATATTTTATTATTAATTGTTATTTTTTTTTTTAAAATTGATTTCTACACACATGGGAAAGAGAAAACCTTCCATGAACTATGGAATGGCTAATCCCATGGAGATGGATTTTGTCATTCCCATTGGAATGGACATTCCTTTTAAAAAAAATATATCAATCATGTGATAAATAATGAGTAAGAGAATAATCATTTCATTCTCATGTCATTCCCACATACCAATCATGCCCTAAGAGACATGGGAGGTTGAATGGCACTGGGGATGTAAGTGAGTCGGTCGGGTCGGGTGCGGGTTTTAGCAAATCCGAACCCAATACGCATATAAAACACCTTACCCAAATTCGATCATTCACTCGGTTAGTGAACTTTGGGTTCGGGTTGGATTTTATCTGGTGGGTTAGTGAGTTTTTGTCGACAATCAGGTAACTCGAATTCTTAAATTTGTGTTTTATCCAAGCCAACCCACTTAATGTGAGAAATAAAATAAAATAATTTCAAAATTACTTATAATGTAACAAAATAATTTTTTTAACTTAGTTTAACAATGAAAAACTATAAAAAAAAAAATATATAATTTTTAGAATAAATAAAACGACTTCTCAGCTCGCAACTCCCCTATTTGATCGATCGAGCACTTTCCTTTTGTAAAATATAATTATTTATCTTTTATAGTTTAGTTTATAATATAACATCTAAAAATTATGTATTTAAAATTTTTATTGTACAATTAACTAAAATTTGATTAAAAAAATCATAAAAATTAAAATAAAATTTAACCACTAATTAAAATTATAGTAATAATCAATATTAATAGCACATGACTAGTTTTACACACACACACACACACACACATATATATATATATATATATATATATATAGATGCTTGCGGGTAATAGTAATCAGGTCGGGTAACGTGTTTTCTACTATACCCGCACCCAACCCGACCTGGGGTTCGAGCAGCATAATTCTACCCGAACCCAACTCGAAACCTGATTATCTCGGGTTTACCCGACTCTACAGGTTTTATTGACATGCCTAAATAGGAAAGTGGAAATGACGAAAGAAAATGTATTGTGGATTAATATTTTTTATAACATAAAATTATAATCGACTTGTTGACATCGAAAATCTTATCAACCCAAAACATCGATTCACTGCTAATTATCGAGCAATTATGCGAATAAAAATGATGCTTGATAATTAACTGGTCAAAAAATGGATGATAATGAGGTCGGTATTTTTGTGATTGAGGTCGAATCACAAGTTTTTTTAATGTTGTATAAAATGAGCGAATATTTGTCGTGATTACAATAAGCATAAGATTCGAAAAATCAACCATATCGGTCTATCAATCTAATTTTTAGGAGAAATCGAAGTCGTTATTTTCTTAAATTGATCAGGAATTTCATGTAATACAAAAGATTGATTTTTTTTTTTAACTATTCAAGTTATTCGCATAGCATGTCAAGGTCAACTATGTGAAACTTATTGTGATTATTAATTATGAATATATAATTATATTTCATTCACATAAACAATCACCCGCTGAATGTGAACACTAGCATTTACCAATAAAAAATAAAACATAAGTCATCTGTGTTATAAATATATTAATATGGACATTACTAATAATAATTGGGCCTGAAGTCCATTAGTCAGTAGGATTAGGTTGTAGGGCTTCCCTCTTATAAACCCTATAAAAGGGTGATTATACCGATGAATAAGATATAGACTTTTTTGCTTCTCTTCTCTTGTTCTCTTTACTACATATTTGGTTGATTGGTGGATGCTTGGTGAATACAGAAGAGTTCCAATTTACAACACGTTATCAGCACGCTCTAATCCCATAATTCGTTTTTGGTGTTGCCCTAGGAAAAAATCGTGTTTTTCCTGTAAGGTAATTACAAGATATCCATTTATTTATCTGTTAATTGTTGTATTAATCATCCGTTTCCTGCAAGGTAATTACCCGTTGAATTTTTTTTAAACTAATCGAGTAATGGATCTACCGCTTCGTATAGTAGCTATAAGAACTGTATTAGCTAAGCAATTGACTTATCGGCTGTGTATCTGGGCCTTATGATGGACCTTTAGATAGAATAGAAGAGTGCTTTGAATTACTGGATACACCTCAACATTAGAACCAGAACCCCTTTATGGGTTAGTGGATCATGATGATATTAAATTTTTTTTGTTAGTCATCTTATTTAATTGGTTGTTTTTGAACTTGGTCATGAATTATTTGATGTGCATATTTGATCCATAAGTTGGTTGGTATATGTTTGTGAAATTGATTTATTTTACGAATCAATAAAATTACACTTGTTCATTGTGAGTTTCCACAAATTTGGTTAGACATGTATTTTGATAGCCATTTTTATTACTTGATTCTTCTGCATATACTTAATCTAAGGGAATGGTTAGTTTGATTTTTAATGGATCCAGCCAATCATCATTTCTCCATGACTACAATTTATTCCATGTACATGACTTCAATTGGTAATACAGTACCACGTATGTTTTTTTCTTGAATGTGAAATTGAACCAGCTCGATAGCTTTGATGTGTTATTATGTAATTGGCTTATATTGGTTCAAGTTTGTTTATTTATTTCTATGACCATTATTTTTGGATAATTGTTACACTATTACTTGATGCGATTATAGTAGCAGCATGTTTGACAGATTAAACATCCAAAAGCACAGATTTAAAGATTTATTTTACCTTTTAAGGTTATCATTCATAATATCCTTCAATAATCATATTATGTTTGTATTGAATAAATTATAGATGTCTGATATCACCAAAGAGAATTTGCTGAGCTCGCCCTTGATGGAAGTAATTA